TTGGCAAAATACACTTGTATAGCCAAAACTTTCGCGTTTGTGCCAATAATAGCCAAATTTGGAGAAATATCACTTATAGCCAGAATTTTGAAAGTTTCATGACAAATATAGCCATTTCCGTTACAAACTTTAACGGTATTAGAGACTCCGTCAGTTAGGTTAACGTTAGAGTGACTAGGATGCCAAATCATCGCACACGTCAGCGACAAATCACCATATCATTGCCACGTCATTAAATTTTGATTTATAAAATTAATTAATTTTGAAAAAAAACATAAAATATCACTTATTCCAACGTGGAAAAGGAAAATAAATTAACTAAAATAAATAAATTAATTAAAAGCTCCGCCTTTCCTTCCTTTTCTTCTTCTTCGTACATCTCCGATTAAACCTAAAAGAAATAGAACTATTAACTTTTCCCTGTTCCTTCTTGAACAAAGGGAGCTCGATTTCGCAACAAGGCAGCCGGCGCCCGCCGGTACCTTCTTCCTTCTTCCCTCGTTCTTCTTTTCTTCCTCTTCGACATGCACCAAATACCTGCAGCAATTCGCTAATGAAAAGAGAGCAGAACCCTAATTCCTGAACATCTTACCCGTCTTCGGGTCTTGCTGAGGTTTTCGCCATGGTCGTCGGGTCTCGCCATAGGCAAGCAGTTGCACGAAGAACGGAAGAAGAGGAAGGAACGCGGCGGAGAGTCAGGGTCGATAGGGGAGTCCGGAATACAGATGGGAGATGGGGAAGACTGGACAACATCAGTGATGGCGATGGCAATAATGGCGGGATGACGAGTCGGAAGAAGCGCTGGAGTCGAGCTCGGATCGGCAGTTGTATCTCCGTCTTTGGCGGCCATGGATTTGGAATTAGGGTTTTCTGGAGAGTGTTTGCTGGAGATGCATACAGGGATGACCAAATTGATTTTTCAATTTGTAGATGGAGATACGTCTTGCTGGAGATGCGGTCGAATCTCCTGGCGATGACAGTGACTTCTCCCTCCATCCAGCTCGACCCAATCCATTTCCTACCCCATGAAGGCCCCTGCTTTCCCCTGCTCATCAATCCTCCTCCTCTCCCATTAAGAATCAAATCCAGCAATCCTCCTCTAGCTTCATAATATGGAATAGAAGACTCTGCGACACGATGGCGACGGGGTTGAGCAAAGACGACGAGGCAGAAGGCCGACAAAGGGACGAATCTGGAACAGGGAGCCATCACCATCGCCACCGAATCCCTAATCCCCAAATCCTTGCCGTCGCCACCATCACCATCGATCGACAGTGGAGCTGCGGTTCTGGGTTGTTTTTGCTTATTCTGGGTTTTCATTTGGAATGGACAGATGGATTGAGGCGGAAGACAGGAAGGAGACACCGACGATTGTTTTCTGGGGATGATTTGTTGAACGTGAGATTTCCGCTGGGAAATGGGAACTATGAGAGATGGGAGAGAGAAAACAAAAAAATATTTAATTCATTTATATTTATTTTCACCTCATATTTTAATTGATTTATTGTGGCATTTTTTTTTAAAATCCACGTGGGAAATACGTGAAGTAGAAAATTGCCACATCGGACAATCTGTTAGTCCAGTTAGCACGATAACTAATACCGTCAAACAATTGGACGGAAGTGGCTATTTTTGGTATTTCTCCAAATTTGACTATTATTGGCACAAACGCGAAAGTTTTGACTATACAAGTGTATTTTGCCTATTTGTTTCTCTTTCATTCTAATAAAGTCGTTAGTTTACAGACACCACAAAACAACTATTAATTGAACACTTACCTTTTTCTTACTTGACACTATTATCTTAGCATTGTTGTTGATTGCCTTCATGTGCAGTGCATCACAACTATTTCCTCCGCTGAGCTTTTAACTTCGTCAATTCCGCTTCAATGGTGTTGAAACTAGAGGATTATCTTGTTCTTGACAATGATATCATAACTCATAAGAAGTTACAATTCTAATATTTGCGTCCTAAGATTGTGGATACACTCATCTGGAGTCATGATTGGCTTCGATGAAGTTCCTATTAGGTTATGGCTGATATTAATGGTGATGATGGGACCAGTTACGGTAACAACACCCCTTGTGTTGTTATTGTAACAACACTAGTCTCCAACCAATAGGAAGTTAGGGTTGTGATGACTTTTTATTAGATGAGTTGACCTAGTGTAAAATCAAAGCAGGGGTATAATTGTCATTATGAAAAATATGTTTAAATAATAATAAAAAATATAAAATATAAAAAATATAAAAAAAAATAAAAAATATTTTTTTATTTTCGGGCCAAATTTTTGGTCGCCGGAATCCGGCAACCGGTCGCCGGTCACCGGAATATGCTTTTTTGTTGCCGGAATATGCTTTTTTGTCATCGGAATATGCCACCGTCGCCGGAATATGCTCACCGTGGTCGGAATATGCTTATCGGCGTCGGAATCTGGTCATCGGGGCCGGAATATGCCTATCGGCGCCGGAATCTACTCACTGACGGTCATCGGAGTTTGGTCAACGGTCTTCTCTGACCGGTCACGGCCAACGACCACCGGATGTTATGGTCTGCATTGTGAGATTTATGGTTTGGTTTCTCATATTTTTGTATGCCCTTTGTGGTTTGCTTTATCGTGTTTGTGGTTTGCATTAAGAAGTTTATGGTTTGCTTTATCGTGTTACTGGTTTGCATTAAGAAGTTTCTGGTGTGCTTTAAAAAATTTTGTGGTTTGCTTTGCTGGGTTTATGGTTTGCTTTACGGCAGTTGTGGTTTCCATTAGGACGTTTCTGGTTTGTTTTAATATATTTGTGGTATGCATTAGGAGGTTTCTGGTTTGTTTTATTGTGTTTCTGGTTTGCATTAAGAAGTTTATGGTGTGCTTTCGAAAATTTTATGGTTTGCTTTGCGGAGTTTCTGGTTTGTTTTAATATATTTTTGGTCTGCATTAGGACGTTTCTGGTTTGCTTTATGTGGTTTGCTTTACCGTATTTTTTGGTTTGCATTAGAGGATTTCTGGTGTGCTTATGAAATATTTATGGTATGCTTTGTGAGATTTTTGGTATCGTTTAAAACACTTGTGGTTTGTTTTAGAAGGTTTTTTGTATGCTTTTTGTGGGTTGCTTTACCGTATTTGTGGTTTGCATTAAGAGATTTCTGGTGTGCTTATAAAATACTTGTGGTCTGCATACCAATAACTCCTAACTGCTTCTATAAAAAACGTATAACTCCATACAAGGTTCAAAAAAATGCTAGACATAAGGCGAGTGGTGTGCTCTTGACTAGCGCCTAACCCGCTTAAGCGTTGCCTAGGCACGCGTAGGCGTTCAAATGCCAAAAGGACTAGCACAGCTATGCCAGCGAACAATAAAGTAGCAATTTTAACAAGTGGAGACAACAATTATTTCAATAGAAACAGCAGAACACCTTTGATGTTGCATCCTGAATATTTTTAATTCCATACAAGATCCGTATTGAGCTTTAATGATAAGAAGCACAAACCTGGAACAGAGTGAGCTGAGCAGAGAGAGTGGTGGCTTCTGTTTGAAGAGTCTGAACTTTGCGTTCTAGTTCTATTATGCAACGCGCCTTTCTCTCTTTTGAGCGAGCAGCAGATTGTCTGTTTGCAAGTATCCTGTAAATGCACAAGGCCAGGGTTGTTAAGATAGGCACAACAATAGAAAAGGCTGAGATCAACACAAATGTACCAACAAATAACATTTTACTATACCAACTATGATTCTGGTACAGAGGTTTGGATGTGGATCTGAAACACTTAAATTGATAACTTAAACCCTCGGAACAGAGCTGATGCATTTCTTCTCAGAAGCTGTTCCCGAAGAAATCTGGCGACTGACGGCGGACGAGCTAGCAATGTTGCAAGCAGCAGCGCCTCTACAAAGCGGCGGCAACGATCAAGAAACGGCGGCGGCGGCGGGCCATGTTGCCATTGACATCCCCGATCCTGCACCGAAAACAGAGCCACCGTCGTCGTCGGTCATCATCGGATCAGGAACAGAGCCACGTCCAGCGGCCCAAGTCGGGGGGTCGTATTCGTCGGGAAATCGAGATGACCATCCCGCCATTCAACCCGCTGCCGTTAATGCCCACTTCACGAATTGTACCGCCGTCGCCCTACTACTTTACCGGAGAAAGCAGTGCCGCCGAGAGCAGAAGAGCAGCAAAGGAAACGGACGAGGCGGGCGCTGTGAAGAGCAAGGAAGATTGAATCCAATGTAGACGCAAAACCATAACCATTCTATAACAGAAACTTGAACTGGGTTAAATTCTGTTTCCTTTCGATTTGCAGGACGGGGAGGTGGACTTCGTGCGGTGCAAAGTTAGCGCTGCCGATCTCCCTCCTCTTCCCCTCCGCCGCTCACTCCGATCGAAGTCAATGAGCACCACCGCCACAAATTCGGAGATGGTGGATTCAGATCCGGCGAAGAATGAGAAGCCCGTCGGCGGTGGCGGCGACGAAGAAGTGATAGTCCAGTACGTAGTGCTGCGGCGAGACCTGATCGATGCGTGGCCGATGGGAAGCGTGGTGACTCAGGGATGCCACGCCGCCGTGGCGGCGATCTGGTCTCACAACGACGACGCGCACACGGACGGGGAGGTGGACTTCGTGCGGTGCATAGGGCGGAGATTGAGAGTGATTGAAATTGAGATATCTTAATGTTTATTTTTTTAGATATATGAGTATATTTATCCTTATACCCTTAATGAATTCTGTTGTTAGTATAACAACACTTAAGGTGTTGTTATACTATCCGGACCCGGTGATGATGACCATGAAGACCAAAAATCGTTTGTGCGTGCTTTGCTTGAGTTTTTGCAAATGCACATGCCTATTGGAATGTGAAATCTAATGTCCTTGAATGCTAAACAGAGACAATTAATTAATTAATTAATCCATGGATGATGGGAGTCAATTGTGAATTTGTGATGCACGTGTAAACAGGGGTTTAGTGGATTGACACTAGTGGAAGGATGATTAGTTAGACAATACAATAACTGATTACTACATGCATGCGTGTATTTATAGATATATAACAATCACTAATCACATTATTAACAAACTACAGCAGATATGGCAGCAAAGACTGAGATAAGGACTGCAGCAACTGCAACTGCTTCTCTGTGGGCAACACAGTTTCTTTTCGTTTGGTTGTTGGTATCATCTTCAATGGCGACAATAGTCGTTGCAAGAAGACCGAGTTTCTCATCCATGAAAGGCATGAATTACTTGAGCCCACTTCCTGTTTTCTTTTGTAACGTACTCTGTTTAATCAAGTTCGAATTTGATGCACATTGCCGAGGATTTAACGTTGCTGCAAGTAAGAAATGGTCATCATGATCAGGTTGAACCAATAAGGGGAGCAAATCCTCATATAAAGGCGAGTTCGATGACCAGATCTACATTTAACATTGACTATGCTGGTAACAAGATGGTAATGGCAAGGAGAGTACAAACTACAAAGGGAGAATGAAGCAGATTACATTCCTCGATGTAGCTGCAGACAGATGTATAAATTGCAAATTTACTGCTAAGAAAGAAAACCCTTTTACAACATGATGGTTCTTTTTTGGGATTTATTGAGTGCTCTCCCTCTCTGGCTGTCACCATACTTGACAATGTTGTTTAACTATACAACCCAGCCCCAAGTCAGGAGAGAAGAAACACATACATCATGCAGTAAAAAGGATTAAAAAGAGCCTAAACAACTCAACTTTTCTACCATCCGGCTCTCGAGACAACTAGAAGCAGTACTTAACTGAAGAAAACACTTGCTTCTTCTTTAGATCACGGTTCCACTAGGAATCAACGCGTCCTTGATCACAGTCACAATCCCGCTCTTGATGAAGTACCCATCAGTTTCCCTTGCCGCTTCTTGCACATTGTCGTTGTTAAGGATCTGAAAGGAATGGGGAACAATAGAACCAATGTTAGATACATTATATAGGAGAAGAAACGTGGCATGTTATTAAGTAAGATAAGTGGGATTACGACCTTCACGTTGTCACCAATTCGAGCATTCTTGTCGATGATTGCTCTCCTGATGTGGGAGTTCTTGCCGATGCCAATAGGGACGCTGCCCTTGGCAGCCAAGAAACTCCTATCTGCATCAGTCTATAGCAACAAGATTTGGAGGAAATGAAGTCAACAAGATGAAAACATAGACTTAGAATTTTAATGGTTAAATAGCGGTATCGGTTATGTTTCAAGGTTCATGTGTACCTCATAGTAGTCAGCTCCCATCAGTAAAGTATCTTCGATGATTGCACCTTCTGAGATGCAGGACCGGAGCCCAACCACGGAATGGTGGATTTTGCAGTTCTGATCAAAGATGAGAAACAAGTGAACATGAATATCCAGCGCATTAACAAGACATGTTTTTGGACCACATATTGTACCTTAATGACACATCCTTCCCCAATAACACTGTCTGTGACATCAGCATCAAGCATCTTGGATGGAGGTAAGTACCGAGGTTGCGTGTAGATAGGAGAAGACCGATCATAGAAGCTGCAAAGCGAGTCTAAGTTTTAATAAATAATTTTGATTATTTTTCCAGATTATCGAGCTAGAATCAGAAGTAGTACCTGAAATCTGGAATTGGTTTCTTTGTTATTCCAAGATTCGCATTGTAAAAAGCCTCAATCGTACCAATATCTTCCCAGTATCCATCATACAGGTAAGCGTGCACCTATTGAGTTTGGGTGAAATCATTAAGATGGTGGCAAAAAAGTGGCATATGCAGAGAGCACAAAACATAGGCAATACTTCTAAGAGTATATTGATGGGGAGGTATACTCACTCTCTTGCCAATAGATGTAGCTCCAGGGATTACTTCACTACCAAAATCATTGGCCCCAGGAAACTTATCCCTGAGTAGCTCTAGCATCACATGTTTGCTGACCACATATATGCCCATGCTAGCGATGTAAGGCATCTCTTTTGCTCTTTGATCATCCAGGCCCAAGATAGTCGTATCAACCTAGAGAAAAAGAAATATGTCGAACCATAAGCTCGAATCGCAGAAACCATAGATGTTAATAACTCCGCATGATAAGAGATACTACCTTCATAGCTTTAAGCTGGTCGCCTTTGGGTTTCTCGGCAAACTCAATAATCCGACCTTCTTCATCGATCTTCATCAGACCAAATGCAGTAGCACGCTTCTCATCCATCGGCAATGCAGCAACGGTAATGTCTGCATCAGTCTCCCTATGCGCCTGAATAAATTTCTCGTAGTCCATTCGATAAAGATGATCCCCAGCAAGAACCAAATACTCCAGCACATTATGCTCCTCAAACAACCACAAGTACTGCCTCACTGCATCAGCCGTCCCCTGAGCCATACAACAACAACAATATGAATGGCATCAAAACTTTCAACAGCAATGCATACCAAGTAATTGCAGATCGTATTGTTTACCTGGAACCAGTTGGGATTCTCTGGACTCTGCTGAGCGGCGAGAACTTCCACGAACCCTTCATTCTTGTAGCCACCCATGTTACTGGCATAAGCCCGGGAGAGGTGCCGATTCAGGGATGCGGAGTTGAACTGGGTAAGAACATAAATCTTGGAAATGTTGCTGTTCAAACAATTGCTGACAGGGATATCGATCAGCCTGTAATTAGCTCCTAGAGGGACAGCAGGCTTTGCCCTCTTCTTGGTCAGTGGGTAAAGCCGGGTTCCAGCCCCACCTCCCAATATAACTCCTAGTACACTCTGTCATGAACACAATAACATGAGGAAAGATTCAGATCGCAGCCACCCAAAAGGGCTTTCCTTCTCCAATGAATTCCAAGATCAGCCATTCCCATTGAGCATCTAACCACCACAAAGCCATCACCTTTTGGCGCGAATCCAATGAGAAATTACCCAAAAAACAGCATACAACCGATTCCAGCTCACAATGCAGGCAAAACATTCACAATTCTACACCGATTACCCAGAATAGAAAGAAAAGGAACAAAAATTCAGTCATATAATCGATCAAACTCACCCTACTGGCATCAGGATCAAGACAGGTCTGAGAGTTCCTGGAATCCGAAACAGCCTTCGGGGAAACGATCAGCGGAGTCCTCACATCCCGGCCGCTCTTCCCAGACCGTCTAGCGGACAATGCCCGGGAGGAAACCTTCTCGCCGGAGAGCTTCGACGACGAGAACCCCAAGCTCCTTGCCTCCGATTTCCGGCCGGCATTGGTGGAGGGAGAAGCTGACGATGATGAAGGCACTTTGAGAGCTCCCATCGATGCGGTAGCCATTTTTGTTCCGGTCAGAGAATTTAGCGAAGCTCTAGCTCTCTCTGCTGCTCTCACTGAAATGAAGGGGAGGAAGAGTGAAAGAGTGAGCTGTGGAGTGCTTTTTTGGGATCTCTGATATTTGATGGGACCTCGAGATCCGATTTGCCCATCACTTTGCAGTGAATTTGCTTTGGTTGGCAGCAAAATTGAGGAAACTGTCAGGGGCATTTAGGGGAATGACAAATTGAGAATTATTTTAAAAATAAATATCTTGTAACAGAGCTAAAAATATTGGTGGCTGGCGTATGGCTATTGGGTGAGAGATCGACGGTCACATGATTCCCTCTGAATTTTGTGTGCGGGAATTTGGGGGAAATTTATTTATTTATGTACTAATAATAAATCTTGTCACAAGGATTCGGAACCGTCCATTGCTTTTGGGGTTTTCATTTTGCAATTATTACGGGGGTGTGGGTAATTAATTATCAATTTTGTCGTGATACGATATCATTGGGAATTGATTTGCTTTTAATTCTTTTATTATGTCAACCGCTAATTAGATGTTTCCAATGTTTGGCACGTGTACATTCTTCCCATTCCTGAAGGTTAGGGTTGAAAACGGGCTCAATTCAATTCAACTGGTCGAACAACTTATTTAATTGTTGATTTGTTTGCAGGGTTTAGTATTTGCCAGTTTTCGGACTAACTTGATTTGTTCGAAATCTTGTCGATGACAAGTTTATAATAATGAATTTGGATTGGTTCGTTGAGATTATTTAGAATGTTTTTTTTTTCTTCTCTAGATCATGCATAAATTTTGTCGATGACAAGTTTATAATAATGAATTTAGATTGGTTCGTTGAGATTATTTAGAATGTTTTTTTTTCTTCTCTAGATCATGCATACTGGTATGCCTCTAGTTTTTGTGCTCTAATTAGGTTAACCAAAACTGTGATGGTAACAATCCATTTCCAAAATGCTAGATCATCTATGATGGTTTCGAGATTTCATAACCTCTTGTGCTACACTTAGTTTGAAGAATGATAGCAACTCTCTTGTTTCAGTTAGGCCCAAGTTTACTTATTAATTTACTTTACTATCTATTTGTTGGCATCAAAGTTCGGATTGAAAACGCCACTATGAAGGAAGGAATCTCATCACTGACAATTATCAAGCGTTTCTTTGGAGGAATGCATTTGAAACAAGTTTGGTCATGTTTTCACTTTCCTTTTAACTCCGCTTGGTGATCGCTCATGCCTAAGAGTATGTGAACATTTATTCTTATTCGTGTAAGTGACGGATACTTGCAACATAGAAGACTAGTAGTGTGATGTTTGTGCACTTGGATATGCATTTCTTCTAATAACATATTAGGTCAAGTTAACTTTGATCATTCAATTACTTTTGTTTTAGTTAGTTTATAATTACGTACCAATGTAAGTAAAGCCAATTAATTATCACGAGTTTGGACCACCTTTTTAGTAGAATGGGAAGAATACTGGATCTAACTAGCATATGCCAACAAATTTGGATCCCTCAATTGCCCAACGACAACAATTGATTTGGGTTGTTTTGGAGCTTAAAGCTTCACATTTTACCAAAGGAATGTGAGGTTTAGTTGTTACATTTTGTTAGTAGATTAACTCAACTAGGGTATTCGTTACGAGGAACATCTTGTTGACCAGAAAATGACAAGCAAATCGAGTAGTCTTGTTGGTTGCTGCCAAGTCTCCATCGTGACTAAATTTGGTAGGCTGGGTTCAATCATCAATGTATACAAACTCAAAAGGGCAAACAAGAGATCATGGGGCTTACCAACAGCTCTTTTTCTTCAAAACGACAAATTGCATTTGCCCATTCGGTTCAATGTATAACACATGCACAAATAATTTTTTAGGGCTGGTTTGAAATCTAAGATTTTAGGAAGAAGTTTATAATGCTATATAGTATTGGTGTTATAGGTTTTTGTCTTTATGGTACAATTTGAAGTTGTACTTTTAACGTTATGGTACAACTTTATATTGTACCTATACTTTTTGTACAAATTTTTTTATGGTACAACTTGAACTTGTACTTTTATGTGATGGTACAACTTCAAGTTGTAAAGTTGTACCATAACATAATGGTACAAATTCCTTTATGGTACAACCTTAACTTATACATTTAATGTTATGGTACAACTTCAAGTTGTATATTAAAGCACCAATACTATATAGCATAGTAGAAGTGCTCAAGATTTTAGATGATGTATTTAGACAATACATGTAATTATGAGAATTTGTCATTTTTGTATTAAATTAAATATAATATTTATATTCAATGAGAATTCAGAAGTGAGACCACCAAAATCTTTTATTATGGGTTATTGTCAATCTCACATTCTTTCTTTCTCAAATTTTTAAGGTTTAATACACTTGTATATCCAAAACTTTCACAGTTGTGATTGTATTTAAGGAATAAAATGAGAAAGTCACTCTTAAAGTGAAAGGTCATGTTTATCCTTTCTTTTACATCCAAAAATACGGGAAAATGCAAAAGGTCAGATTTTGCATCCAAGAGTAACGATGCATAATAGTTAATAGGGATATAAAGGGGGAAAAATGGAAGAACAATCTCAAAACACAATCTCATTATCTCAACAATCTCATCAAATAATTGAGATTGTAAATCATTCATATTGAATGATTTCAACTGTCACACCAACAATCAAATGCATGCATTGTGTTTCATTTTGAAACAAAAAATGATGCATTTAATAAAATACATGAATTCATTAAATGTATGGTTTAGATACGCAAATTAGGGGTGGACAATGGGCAGGTTGGGTAGGTTTTCATTTCAAATTGACTCACTCGCTTACTAGCGAGTTGGAATAATTGTGACCCATAATCCGCCCACATTCTTCTGCGGGTCGGGTGGGTGGCGGATGAGTGCGGTTGGGTCATGGGTTAACCCGCAAAAGCAATTCTCCAACTAGCCATTAAGAAAATCGACTAACATTTATAATAATTTCTAGTAAATTAGTAAGATTTTATCAATTTAAACACTTCTCACTTTGTCTCAAGTGAATCCATGTAGTATTTGCATTAAAAAATTTACTACTCTATCAACCAATTGCGTGGAGAAAACTTACGCATTTGGTGATTTTGATAAAATTAATAATTTATAGTTTTCATCCTAATAATTAATGGATATTAACAATAATTTGCATTACAATATCCAATATCTAATGGATATTACACAACACAATAACCAATAATAGTAGTCAAAACTATTATGAATTCTCCAACTTTAGAAGTATATGGTTAGATTGTAGTGCGGTTTGGAAATATGATGAATATTCGATACTATAAGAAACAATATTTTTTCATGTGAAAATAGGATGCGGGTCGTTCGGGTGATCCACAATCTACCCACCACCCACCACATAAGTGCGGGTGAGAGATTTATCAATCCGCAATTCACCCGCATCAATCACCCACTGACCACTACTTACAGATTGAGTTATTTACGGGTGGATCAATATCAATCCGCGGATTAACCACCCACGTGCCCACCCAACCGCAAATGACCCCTTTTATATGCAATTATGCATCTTCGATTTACAACGGATTTCATTCCTAAATCGTAGGACTGAGTTGACCGCTTAAGCCCATGGACCGGCCTTAAAAATTTGAAACAGGCCCATTTTCTTACTTAAAGAAGCCCAAAATAATCACGAACGCAAGTTCCAAAGCAAAACCGCGCTTCGCTAATGGTTTCATTCCCCCGCCTCTCCGACTAAAGCGACAAGCTCCACGACTGGCGGCGACGGCGATTCCCTCCGAACTAAACTCTAGTTTTCTCAGTACTGCCCCGCAAGATGAAGCTCGTTAGGTAGATTCCTCTCCTTCTCTTTTCTCTACTCTCAGTTTTGTGTACTCTTTCAGATGTAGCAGGCAATTGAGCGTCTGGAATTAGGAATCTGACGAACAAAGCTTCGCTCTTTTTCGTTCTAGGTTTCTGATGAAGCTGAACAACGAGACGGTGTCAATCGAGCTCAAGAATGGAACCGTAGTTCATGGAACCATCATAGGTTTTCCCCACTTTCTCACTCTCTTGTTCGCATTTCAGAACTTTAGCTAGTTCTAGGTCTTCTGGGTAAACCCTAGGGTTTTTCAAATTTTTAATCCGGGATTCATTTCAGTTGGGCCTCTGTTTTTTGCATGCTGTATGATCCTGGCTCTGGCTTTTGTCTTTGTTCAAATGTCAGCTGCTCAATTTGGGAGGAAAGCTTTAGCCAGTAGAGAATAATGGCTTTCTGCTAATTTGTTAGTGGAATTTAATGTTGTATAGGGGTTGACATTAGTATGAACACCCACTTGAAGACGGTGAAAATGACGCTCAAGGGGAAGAATCCGGTAACCCTCGACCATCTAAGCCTGAGAGGCAACAACATTCGCTACTATATCCTGCCGGACAGCTTGAACCTGGAGACTTTGCTTGTGGAGGAGGCTCCCAAGATTAAGCCCAAGAAGGCTGTTGCTGGTACTACGCTAACTCCTAAGCAGTTCATCTATTACCTTTTTCCTTTTCCTTCTTGTTTTGCAGTTGGATGTTTCGTGTTAGTAAGCCTTAATTGTGTGGTTATGTTGCAGGGAGGGCAGTGGGACGTGGCCGAGGGAGGGGTCGTGGAAGAGGACGTGCACGTGGTCGTTAAATTGTCTTTGACATGGCTGCGCATCAAGTTTTTCGGGATCAGTTAGGGACTTGAGAGAAGTGAGAACTCTTTTGTAAGTTTTTATTTGCGCTTGGAAATTCGAATTTGAAGTTGGTACTGAATTTAGCTCTGATGTGCGTTATCTCTTGAGATGTGGGTTGTTTATATACTTGCTGGTGTAAACGTGGTAGCTAGTAGTGTAAGTTTGGAGGAAGTGATGAGATGGTGTGAAAATTGCAGCTTTCTAGAGCCTTCTATTCTTGATCTATTGATGCTGCTTTTTCAACTGAAAGACTGATGCTCATGTACCATGTTTAAAGGGCTCATTTTTCGATGAAATTTATCAAGCATTTGTGCTGCCTATTTTCCAGATCGAATTGACGTTGAGCCATATCAGTATCCCTTGCTTCTGGTTTAGATTGCGGAGTGCCAAAATAGTGTCTTAAATGTTATTCTTGACTCAAGTTGTTCAGAACTTTAGTTTTGGGAGTTTCAACTTGACTCGCTCGATTTGACTAGTTTGACTCGACCTGTGAGCAACGAATTTCTGTCTACCTTCTTTGAATCACATGACATAATGTGTCTGCCTATATCAACCTGGTCTTAGCAGAAGTATCCGACCTGATCAGCGGCCAATATGGGCACAACTGCACAAGGCGTCTGTGTAAAACGCAATGCGTTTGCAATCCTTTTCTGAAGAAGATAGTTTCTAATTCACATTGGTTTGATTTATTCAACTATTTCACTTGTATAAGGCTTTGAAATGCCCAATTCTAAGTTTACAGCAAGATCCAAGTAGAGTAACAAAACAACATTACTAGAGAGCCTATGAAGAGCGAAAGAGAATCCAAAGATATTTAAAGCTCCTAAATTTAGCCGCAACAAGGTGCTCCTTGAGTAGCTGAGCCACTTCCAGCAGATGGTCCAGACTGTCCTCCATAGCCAAGCTTGATCCCATATGACTGCATGACAGACACCAGAAAACAAGGTTATCATGATGCCTTTCGAAAATGACAAGTTAACCAAGTTGTACCTCATTTGATATGTCGAGAACCCCATCCTCAATCTTCTTGTAGATCTTTCCGGCAGTGTTTATGAATGCCTGCAAGATGGCATATAAACAGATAGACGATCAAGAATTGTCGGGGAGCTCAATATGCACAGAGATTATGTGTAACATAGCAACATTACCTCCTCAACATTCTGGGCGGTTTTGGCGGAGGCTTCCATGAACACAAGACCATTCTCCTTGGCAAACTGCTCCCCTTCCTCTGCACTCACAGCTCTTCTATGCGCGAGGTCAGACTTGTTACCAATAAGCATTATGGTCATGTTGGAGTTCGCATGCTGCCTTGCGTCCTCCAACCAGCTGGCCAAGTGGTTGAATGTTTCCCTCCTGCAACAGTAGCAAATAATGTTGAATGCTTAACTCTAGCATAAAGGAGTCGATAACAAAAAGGCTTGTACACTGTAAAATCATCATCTGGAAGCTGGTAATTGAGACTCGTACTGCAAGATAACGCTGCTAAAACCATGCACAAGATGAGACTGAATGAGAAAGAAACTATACCTGGTAATGTCATAGACAAGAAGTGCTCCAGCAGCTCCTCGGTAATAAGACCTTGTAATGGATCTGAATGACTCTTGACCAGCCTAGTACAAGAAAAACAGAATTGTGCGTCCAAACTTGTCTTCATGAAACTACAAGAAATTGAGGATCGAGCATATACTATGAAGAGCTAAACCATACATGCCAAAGGAGCATTCCAGCTTCTAAACCCCCCTAATTGCAGCCAAGTAAACAGTCACATGGTTCTAAATGGAAACAGAATTCAAATGATCTTTCAATGGAAAACTTTGCATGAAAAATGGTTATGATATATTTACTCAATAGCAACAATCGCAGCAAATAAGTTTCTTAATCTTATATGCAGAGATGCCTCCAGCAGCAATCCTAATTCCGTCAGGATTCCATCAAGATGAACAATAAAGCAACCGGAAGCAAGTAATTATGTCAAAGCCATTTCCAAAGGGAAAAATGAGAGAGCCCAGAAAGCAAACCGTGTCCCATATTTGCAGCTTGATCGGTTTGTTATCGATATTGATCATTCTAGCTCCGAATTCAACACCAATAGTCAAGTCATGAACTGGCTGAAATCTCTTGTCAGTGAATTGCAGAAGCAGACATGACTTCCCAACTCCTGCAGTAATCAACAAAGACCCACGCATCCATTCTTCAATAAAACACAAAACAAACAACCCAGGAGTAGTAGTACTATCTACCAATAGCGGAAAATGCTAACCAAAACCAAATTCAACAAACAGAACAACAGAGAATGCTCTTTAATCAACAAAACAAGAACAACCCACTTCACCAAATCGATGAAAAACCCAGCCCATCAAACCAATGCGAGGGGGCCAAAAACTGACACTCACGCATTCAGCCTCTCGTCCATCTACTCTGCAACTTCAACGCACAAAGAAAGAAAGCACACGATTGAGCGCCATTGGTTTACCTGTGTCCCCAATGATAATGTACTTGAAGAGATAAGCGTACGACATTGCGTATGTCTTCCCGTTTCAGATTCCCGGCGGAAAATCTTGGACGCTGGGTTTCTTTCGGATCTTGCTCGGTAGTGAGATTCCGATTTGGCGAACTTCAACTCTTCAAGTACTACTGCGATTCCCGATTGCGAAAAACGAATGGAACGAAGAGACTATCAACTTTCCTTTCCCTCCTCTCCTCTTCCGTTTCGAGTTCGTGTAAATCGTTGAAGGAAGAGGACGCTTCGACGATGATGCGGTTCCTTTTCCCCCGACTGATGATGATTCACATTCACAGGCGTTTGCTGTCTGCCTTCTCGTCCATTTCTTTTTTTTTTTTTTAATTTTCTTCGTCAAGAAAATTTAACTATATTGGGCCAATCTCCCCGGGGGAAAAAAAGCTATACCGGGCCGACCGGATAGTTAGCGCGAGGCCCGTAAATCGTCGACCATTGCTCTTTGGGCCCAGTTCGGTGAAAGAGACTATTGGATTAGGTCATGAGGTCGAAACTTGAGCAGTTGAGCACGAGGTTGTGCTTTGCATTTGACATCGAGACTGAGAGGTATGGGAATGAAGAAAATTTTCATTATTATTTTGCATGACATTAGACAAAATCATACGTGCACTATGTGCCGGACCATTAATATTGGAGTCTATTCGAGAAACGAGATACTTCGATCATTAAAAAACGTATTACATTGTATTACGAAAAAAACACGACAAGTGATCCACTTTCAAATTCATATGGGGTTAGAGGAAAGTGAAGGAGCGCGGGTAGATGGGACTCGACTCAATCTATCTGACTCGAGTCATACCGATCAACGATGCGCCGTTTCAATTTCTCGATTATATGAAACAAGGGGTCAAACTACCAAAGTAGCTAGTAGTAAATTGTTACATTGCAAACATACTATTACGCAAAATGTTAGTCAATCGACTAATCATGTCAATAACCAGTTGGTCTCAACAACTCGAGTTATGGAAACCGGTCGGTTCATGACATGGTATTACAGGTGGTTTGATCAAGTGGCCGACAAATCCCAATGTTTTGCATTATGTAAATCTAGCCTTATACGGTTTATTCTACCAAAATCAGAATCATAATCAAGGTGATCGTCTAAGGGTTGCTTCCTCGAGTGTTCTTTGGCCATTATGCACTACTGGTTTGCTTTTGTTGCCATGCATTCATTAACTACGTAAAAAGGCAAACCTCTTTAGATCATTAACGAGCTACATATTGGGGTCACACCCATAAAAAAGGGCACACTTACTATTCTCATGAAACAGACTCTGGACTTTCCCCACTAACGTACAATTCCCTCTTCAAAAAAGAAGATTTCAATTGCATTTGCGGGGATCCTCTTCTTCATCATCCTCCAACCCTCAAGCTCTTTAATGAACACCCGCCCCAAATGAAGAAGGCCGGCCCACCCAATTTCTCACCCCAGTGTTGGTGGGGATCCTCAAGTTTGGACAGGTTGAGATAACATATGGTTAATAGAATATACGTGAAGGCAGTGGCGGAGCCAAAAAATTTGACTGGGATATTTTTTTTCATGTCATGAAAAGTCAACTATACAATAAAAAAGTCAACTTTAAATGAAAAATATGAAGTCAATAACATAATCAGTCGGATCCAGGGGGTGGCCACCCTGGGCTCTGGCCCAGCCCTCCTCTGGATCCGGCATTAGTGTAGTCCTTATGAATTTTTTGATATTAGACATTCGGCTCAGTGTTAATTTATAATAAGATTGGGTATAACTAGAAAAATAATTCAAATTAACATTTTCCAATCACTATTCTATTTAGACTAGAAATTATAGCCCCAAAGATTATTCGTCTAAAAACAATAAATTATAAAATTATAAAACGTAAAAGACTAGAAGAAATATGAGGTTTTTTCCCTTGAAAATTTACTAGAGTAGTTGGTGAATCTAGGGATGGACACACAATGTACGATTGATTTGTCTAGTGTTGACGCTGCTCGTTTCAACAGCTACTACCGGGAGAACTTTTTCAAAAATGAAACATGTGTAAAACTTATTTGAGCAATAAAATGAACGATGAATTTCTCGCCGATTGTTCAAGTATTTTATTTGAAACAGTTTATACTATTGATATGGATGTGGACTCCATTATTGTTGCATTCACTAAATTAAAATATGATAGTGTAAAATTTATATTGCAAAAAAAAAAAAAATATTATATTTGTTTATAGTTTTAATTTTATAATGAAATGTGACCCAGTACTCTTTTGTGTTCTAGATCCGCCGCTGAACATAATAACCAAGATTCGAACAATTACATAATAATAGTTCTACACACATCGCCTACAATGAACCTCGACAATATTTCATATTCTGAAAGCATTCTAGAACACATTCCTTGCCCAAACTAGCACACAAATCTTCTTCAATATAAGCCACCATCGTGAACGAGTTTGAGAGAGATAATTATGTGAAGAATCAATTGACTTGATTTCATTAATGATTCTCAATGCTAATATACAAGATTATACAACAGAAAAGTATCCCACTCTCATAAGAAGTAGGAGCCGAGCAGTAGTGGGAGAGAAAAGGAAAAGAAGAAAATAAAAATAGTTTTTATTTACTAAATATCCTTAATACGCCCCCGCAAGATGGAGGATGTATCAACGACTCCAATCTTGGATCGGAGCAGAAGAAACTGAGTAGCCGCAGTGTTTGGTGAGAGCGTCGGCTGGTTGATGAGCCGTGGGGATGTAGGACGCACGTAGATGACGGGCCTGAACAAGCTGACGGGCGAAGTGGTAGTCCAAGGTAGGGGTGGGCAAACGGTTCGGTAAACTCGAACCGAATCGAAACCCAATTAAACCGAACCAAAACCGAAATAATGCTATTCGGTTGGGAATTCGGAAAGAAAATATGGATATTTCGGAAACCAGGGTTCTTTCAACTGAACCGAAATTCCGAAATTCCGACCGAAAAACCAAAATACTACAATTGCAACCTCCAAATTGTGGATTTTTATGTTTGTACTTGTTTTTATACTTAAATATTTGAAATGCTTTATGACTTATGTGTTGAAAAGTTTGATTTTATCATTGATTATGCATATAATTGTATATTTATTGTTTATATTAGGGGTGAAAAATAATTTAAAAGTGAGAAGATACAAGTAGTCTCACAAATTCGGTTTTGTGTTAAAAATCGAACTGAACCGAATTATAATTCGATTTAAATCGACCGAACCGAATTGTAATTCGGTTTGAGGTTTGGGAGAATTTGGGGACCCGGTATTCATAATTTTGGTTCGGTCGAAACCGAACCGACCGAATGCCCACCCCTAGTCCAAGGCCAGGCGTTTCATCCTGGAATGGAAAACGGGGTTGGTGCTGAAATATGTCGCGCCAAGATTATCAGATAGAGCACCAACGGCGATGGGAGGGAAACACAGAGTTCAATGAGAAGGTTTTGGACCCATTCAAGCTCAGCAGCGACATTAGCAAGAGCCCAATATTCGGCCTCTATACTTGATCGTGCAACAATCCGTTGCTTTTGAGATCGCCACGAGATAAGAGTGGACCCAAAATAAATAAGATAATCAGAAGTGGACGAGCGATCATCCGAATTGCCAGCATAGTCAGAATCATCAAAAGCAATCAAGGAGAATGGTGAATGAGAGCGGCGAAAGGCCAGACCATAGGCGAGAGTGCCAGGAACATAGCGAAGAAGCCGCTTCACACACTACCAGTGAGAGACAGTCGGAGCATGCATATACTGGGATAGCTTATTGACAGAGTAGGCAATATCTGGTCTAGTGTAAACAATATATTGAAGAGAACCGATCACCTGAAGAAAATGAGTGACATCTGTCGGTGGGGAGCCATCATCAAGCTGGAGGGAAGTAGATGCGGGCATAGGAGTATCAACAGCCTTAGCATAAGTCATCAGGAACCGCTGTAAAATGTCAACCATGTACTTGTGTTGTGACAAGATATAGCCAGTGGTAGTAGGAATAACCTCAATCCCCAAGAAATAGTTTACATCACCAAGCGCCTTGAGAGAGAACCGACTGGATAAAGCCTGCCGAAAGGTAGAGAGCACAACTGGGTCATTGCCAGTGAGGAGTAAATCATCAACATAAACCAGGAAATAGAGGAGAGTCGATCCATGAGAATAGACGAAGAGTGAGGCATCGGAGTTGGTCTTAGTAAAGCCAAAGTCTTGAAGGAAAGCACAAAATGTAGTATACCAGGCACGAGGAGCCTGACGGAGATCATATATGGCCTTCTTGAGACGACAAACATGATGCGGATAAGCAGGGTCAACAAAATCAGGAGGTTGAAACATGTAAACTTCCTCGTCCAAAGGACCTTGAAGAAATGCATTGTTGACATCAAATTGAGAAATAAACCAACCATGAGCCAAATCCAGGGTGAAGACAGTACGAACCATGACCGGTTTAACCACCGGGCTGAACATGTCGCTGAAGTCAACCCCAGGTCGTTGAAGAAAACCCTTAGTCACAAGTCTGGTTTTGAAGCGCTCAATAGACCGATCTGAATTGTGCTTGACACAAAAAACCCACCGATTGCCCAGAACATTGTAATGAGGAAGGCGAGGAACCAGATCCCAAGTGTCATTGGCCAATAATGTAGTGTGCTCAAGAGAGAGCCGAATCCCACTCGAGGTAGCGCTGGGCCTCCTGAATAGTGAGAGGTTGTAGTGGGGGTGGCCCAAGAGACAACTGGGTGTGAAACAACCGCTTTTTGGGCAAAAAAACTCCAAGTTGGGCCCGCATAGTCATGTTATGTGTGCGCACCAAGAGAGGAGGCTGTACAGGGGCGGAGGTCTTGGTCGTTGGAGGTGTGCAGGGGGCTGGGGTGGAACATAAGCTGATGATGGGCCGGTGGAGGAGAGCCCAGTTGGAGAGGCATCTAGTGAGGAGGCGCTTTTGGGGGGGGGGGGATTGTGGGCCGGTGATGATGAGACCTGGACAGGAATACAAGGCATAGTAATAATAGAAGGAGAAATGTCATATAACCATGACTCAGATGAGCAGATGGCAGGAGGTGTCTCGGCATTAAATCCTGGAAATCCAGTCTCAACGAAAACAACATGACGTGAGCGAAAAAGTTTTTGAGTGGTGGGATCAAAACAACGATAAGCACTGCGTTGAGGACAATACCCAAGAAATAAACAAGGTCGAGAACGTGGATTGAGTTTGTGAGAGGAATAAGGACGAAGCCAAGGATAACACAGACAACCAAAGATATGTAATTTATGGTAATTATGGGATAAATTGAAGAGAAGTGTGTAGGGAATTTTACCACGTAGAGCAGAGGAAGGGAGACGATTGATGACATA